CCCCCACGGAGACAAACAGTTCAGCAACTACAAAAACAGAAGCAACAGTAGCAGAGAACCAATCAGGTGTTGACAGATCCTTCATTATAGCTGCCAACAGTAGCAGAGAACCAATCAGGTGTTGGCAGATCCTTCATTATCACTACCAACAGTAGCAGAGAACCAATCAGGTGTTGGCAGATCCTTCATTATCACTACCAACAGTAGCAGAGAACCAATCAGGTGTTGGCAGATCCTTCATTATAGCTGCCAACAGTAGCAGAGAACCAATCAGGTGTTGACAGATCCTTCATTATCGCTACCACCATGGCCCAAGCACATCGTTGTGACTCACGCCAGGTGTAGTAATGGAGGTTCATTGAGGGGATGGCTACAGTGACAGCGTGGCGCTCACCACCGGTGTTTGTCTGCTAGGCTACAGCGACAGTGTGGCGCTCACCACCGGTGTCTGTCTGCTAGATCATTGAAGGGATGGCTACAGCGACAGTGTGGCGCTCACCATCTGGGTTTGTCTGCTAGGCTACAGCGACAGTGTGGCGCTCACCATCTGGGTTTGTCTGCTAGATCATTGAGGGGCGTGATGGGGCAGTCAATTCACATGGAAATATAACAACAACAATAGTAATATAAATGACAGTCATAGGAACTGGCAATATAACAACAACAATAACAATATCAATGACAGTCATAAGAACTGTAGTTACTAGAGAGAACAAGAAGAGAATTAGCCATACTACAATACATCCATACACTGCCAATTTTCACTCCTCACACCTCACAAACGGACACACTCACGCACACACATGACAAAAAATGTTCCTTTTACAACATCAACAAAACTAGGGGGAATCAGAACTGTATCATCATCATCCTCATTCTCACCATCACATGTGAGGCAGCGTGGTGAAATCAGGCGCTCGTCAAAATAATGAAATAGAAGAAAAAGGCATTTTTCCACCACTAGCAAAATTCTACTTGAATTTTGGTTTTTGGCTCACAACCTTTTATGTCCATTTAAAAACACATTTCTGTGTGGATTTTACTGAAAAACGCTGATTAAAGGAACAAAAATTGCAGATTTTCAGTTTTCAAGGCCTCTCAAGCTTTGGAAGTCAGCGAACTTTGGTGGCCATTTTCTCGTTAATTTTACCTCTGAAACCAGGCGACCCCCGCATCTGCCAATGGCAAATATCTCGGCAAATATCTCGGCAAATATCTCAACTTCTGTCCAAGGTAGGTTGGTACTTTTCCCACCCAAAACAAGGCAAATGAACAAGCTCTAAGCTGACACCATACACTCCACATGCCCAAACATTGACGAGCGCCCGATTCCACGGGGTTGTGACATATATATATATATTATATATATATATAAAATCATGTATATATATATATATATATAGATATAAAATATACATAAACACATTGAGTCCTAATGAAATGCATTCAACGCAGTGTGAACAGCATCAAGTCTATGATAAACATTTTGTATTTGATGGGTTTACAGAGTCTCTCGCATGTTCGAGGGATGGAGGGGGGATGTTGTGTGTGTGTGTGTGGGGGGGAGGGGGGTGTTGTGTGTGTGTGTGGGGGGGAGGGGGGTGTTGTGTGTGTGTGTGTGGGGGGGGGGGGATATGATGTGTGTGTGGGGGGGATATGTTGTGTGTGTGGGGGAGATGTCCCCCCCCCCCCCCCCCCCGCCTCTCCTAGAGTACCTTGATGGTTATAACGGAGCTGAACCATGTTCCCCCCCCCCCCCCCCTCACCCACCCCTATCACTTAGAGTACCTTGATGGTATAACGGAGCTGAACCATGTTCCCCCTCATCCACCAAGCCCCGTGTGTACAGCTCCTCACAAGACACAGACTCCTGTACAACAAGTCCATTAACAGACACCCAGCCATCACACCTGCCACCGATCAGATCCTCGTCAGTGTCACATACCCCTCTCCCCAGCTCCCAGTCGTCCCCTCTCCCCAGCTCCCAGTCGTCCCCTGTCCCTGTCTGGCTCACCACCCTCACCCTCACGGTCTTCCCTGACCCCTCGGCCAGACCCAAAATACCTGGGTACTGACCGTTAACCAGCTGCACTATCATTGTCTTTTCCTTCCTAAACAACACGTAACCATAGACATAAGATTGGCCCTGGTCTATGCACCAGAGCCGGCTATGCTGGGCTCCCCCTGAACCCACCCAGCTGCTTAAGTTTGAGAGGAAGAAGTGGCAGACGTACTCTCTCCGTGTGTCTCTAACGTCCTGAACCACCTTCCTCATTTAACGTCCTTCAGCGACCAGCTGGTCGATCACCCCTCGACTGTCTGACCTCAACAGTTCCATGGCGCGACCCCCCGTCCCTAAATCCTGGCTTATCTCCCCCAGCGTGTGTTGTTGTTGTTTAGAGGCGTGGCACAGCTGGTCCAGCGAGGCCCGTGCGTGGCCCAGCGAGGCGCTCACTCTGCCCACTTCTTGCTGCAGTTTGGTGTAGGAGAAGACGGTGATGCGGACCAGCCTCGACACGGACCCCTCACAGCGCTCTGCCACGGCCCTACTCCTACTCACTTCTTCTGCCAGCGTGTCTATTTTAGAGGACAGTTTGTGCTTTGTGTCGGCCAGCGTGACTATTTTAGAGGACAGTTCGTGCTTTGTGTCGGCCAGCGTGTCTATTTTAGAGGACAGTTCGTGCTTTGTGTCGGCCAGCTTGTCTATTTTAGAGGACAGTTCGTGCTTTGTGTCGGCCAGCGTGTCTATTTGAGAGGACAGTTCGTGCTTTGTGTCGGCCAGCTTGTCTATTTTAGAGGACAGTTCGTGCTTTGTGTCGGCCAGCTTGTCTATTTTAGAGGACAGTTCGTGCTTTGTGTCGGCCAGCTTGTCTATTTTAGAGGACAGTTCGTGCTTTGTGTCAGCCAGCTGTGTCATCACTTCAGTCTCCGCGTCAAGAAAGTCGCTGACCCCCTTGAGCACACAAGACTTCACGTCCTGGGACATGCGTTGGATCTCCGCTAGGATTTCTTTCTTGACCACGCTCTCCGACATACCGCCTCTACTGGGGGGTCTGGGGGGAAGGCGTGGGGGGGGTCGGGGAGGGGGTACCGGGGGTCGGGTATCGGGGGTCGAGGAGGGGGTACCAGGGGTCGGGGAGGGAGTACCGGGGTTCGAGGAGGGGGTACCGCGCTGTGGGGTCGTCCTGTCTGCCAGATTGGTCACCACTGACTCCAGACTGGACAGCCGGTAGCTGGTCTTTAGGCTCTCATTATGCAGATCCTGAATTTTCTTGAGGACGGTTTCCAGGACAGTGGAGTTGCGCTCTGAAACAAGGTGGTCACTGAGTGAGGGGGACTGGACGGAGAGGGAAATGTCTACAACATGGTGGTCACCGAGTGAGGGAGAAGGAGAGGGAGAGGGAGATGTCTACAACATGGTGGTCACTGAGTGAGGGGGACTGGACGGAGAGGGAGATGTCTACAACATGGTGGTCACTGAGTGAGGGAGAGGGAGAGGGAGATGTCTACAACATGGTGGTCACTGAGTGAGGGGGACTGGACGGAGAGGGAGATGTCTACAACATGGTGGTCACTGAGTGAGGGAGAGGGAGAGGGAGATGTCTACAACATGGTGGTCACTGAGTGAGGGGGACTGGACGGAGAGGGAGATCTTTACATCAGTTTAAGTTTCAGTTAAGGTTTTACGGTGCTCACAACTGCATTAGGTCATTCATATGAGCGCCAAGGGGGGGATGTCAACAGAGAAGTTCAAACGGGGAATCAGGTTTACTCTGCTCACCTCTCTAGCCTCAACAGCACAAAGTCTGCTTCGACTATCAAGGCACCCCGGAAATAGCGGGTCACAAGAGAGTGACAAACATACAAAAAAAGTAGAGGGAAAATGCCAACAGTAAGGATGAGGGGAAAAAAAGCAGCAGTTCCCCCTGAGTTGTTCCAACACAGTATGAGCATGACATTGATAAATCTGTCCATTTACAATTGTACTGTGCTTGTTAATATCCCCCTTTGGGAATGGCATGCTACTGGTGAAAAAATGCCACTTAATTCGCATTTTACTACGACTCTTATGCAAAATACCAAATATCTTTCTAACATAACCACGATGACACATAGTCATCATGGTGGATAAATGCTTGTCGCCATTTTGGAACATACCATCAATTTACATCAAATTTTCCCCTCTCGTCGACATCCAGCCAAGCACGTGTGGTTGCATCTAGATCTACCACTACTCGACCATTGGAACACAGTGCCATGTTAACCATTACTTGGTTTCAATTTTCAAACATAAAATGTTTAGATCTGATGACAATATAAGAAAACTTAAATGGATTTGTCCCATCCATCGTTGTTGTTCTCGCCGTCTTACATCGCACGACAATACGCTTGGAATGGATCGACAGGAACCATGCACGTTCCTCCACCCCTATTACTTCTCGTTTTCTGATTGGTACTTTCGAACATAACAAATGATGACAGAGCACGAGGCGTGGCGGGATTTCCGTTTTCTGCAAAATTACGTCCAGTCACAGCCTGGGAATCAGTCAGGGCAGAGAGTAAACATTGATCGATATTATGCTCGTTCCAGGGCCCCAAAATGGCCGATAGAAACGAAGTCACAGGGAATCAAAGTTTCCTTGCAAAATGACTACACGAGTTTTGCTCAAAATAGAAAATCTAGAAGGCTGACAAAGAAATCACAGCCACAGATATCATTGTTCCTGATACAGCAGCACAAATACTGTAGTTGTAGCAGTGAAAGTGGAGAAGGACGAGTCTCTCCACAACTATTTCATTGTTGAACTTGACCACAGAAAAACTACAAACTCGACGCGTCACGTTCTGCTTTCTAAAAATACATCGATTTCAGAACTAAAAACAATTGTAAGATTTCTTGTGATGGCCCGACCGTTCTATCTCGGCTCCCTGAGCTGAAACATCATATTAGGCACAACATATACAATTGTCAAAGCTGTAGCACCATTTTTATTGAAATAGGAAAGGATTTTGTAAGATGAAGAAACCCCCACTCTTTGTTGGCAAAGGCTCATATACACAAACACATGCGTGCACACACTTGTAACTCACCGACAGATCTTTGGAGAGCTTTCAGGTCTGTGCTTGTGGCGGCCATTGTTGTTTCTACTTTTGGCCTAGAGGACATAAACAGAAGTGAAGAAATGATGGTGGACAAGACATGAGAAAAGTGAACGTTTTACACAACAGGTGAACGTACGACAACAGTCTTACTACAGTACAGGGTGATCCAAAAAAACAAAACTGTTCAACTTTTTTTCTAACGGACAAAGTTTGTACTGGAATGTTTCAATTTGGAACAGAGTTCATTCATTCAAAAGAATTTGTTTGACATAAAGTTTTTAAAGAAGAAACTTGTTTTCGAAAATGGAAATGGCTTTTAAAAAAATAAAAACCAGCTATAAATGCAAAATGGATCAACTGAAAAGACCTCGTAATGTAAGGAGAGTCATGAAATGATTGGTTTGTTTTTTCCCTTCCTTTTCTTTTCAAAAATCCAATCTTTCCAAGCCTGTAACATTACAATTATAATTGTATTTTTCTTTATTCTATTTAAATTCTAACCCTGATGACCCTGGTTTAGAGAGGTGGCTCCAAAACACCAAGAAAGCTAACGGTGGTTTTTTCCGGCAGGCGCTATTTGAAACACCGTGTTCTGATTATCTCCCATGCTATTTGAAACACCGTGTTCTGATTATCTCCCATGCTATTTGAAACACCGCGTTCTGAATAGCTCCCATGCTATTTGAAACACCGTGTTCTGATAATCTCCCGTGCTATTTGAAACACCGCGTTCTGAATAGCTCCCATGCTATTTGAAACGCCAGTAGGCCTACTAGAATCTAGATCTAGATGTAGTAGCCATCGTTTCTACATGATGTTAATATTGTAGTTCTGCCTGAATTGTGGAAGTTTTCTCAGTTTCTTGATAAACATCCTAAGATTTGACTCCTTTTAAAATATTTTTATGACTCTGTCTTATTCCGATCACTATTGGGTAGATCTAGATCTAACAATTGTTTCTGACACTGACATTGTCTGCCCAAAAGTAGCCTTGTTCATCTCTCATAATCAGAATCGTTGGAGTTTGAGCAGGTAAGTGAAAAGACGCTTGGATAACAATAACAAGACGGTGCAACTCGGTCTAAGCACTAAATTTCCTGTTCGCAGTGTCGTCATGCAAGAGCTAAAATTAATTATTAGATCTATCTCTGCATGCACTTTATATTTGGCCATCACAAGATGTCACCAGATCTAGATTTCTAGGCTTCGGCGTTTAAATTAGAAGGGGGGAAAAGGGTGTCTACATTCTCTAAGGTTGGGCCTGGAGAACGTCAGCTGTCTACGTTCTCTAATGTTCAGTGCTTCCAAGCACGGCATCGAATCCCGGGCCCGGAAGGTTTTTTTTCTTCTTCTCTTGAGCCAAAAGCTATTTTTGTTAAATAATTAGACTAACAGACCAAGGAAAGCCACTACTGAACTTTCACCAGGCCTAAATTGGTAGGCCTGAAAGGGAAAGTATAGACTATACTAAGGCCTACTTTGTAGGTAAAAGCTCCTCTTGGGGACAAAACCAGAATGTGCATGCTTCATCACTACATAACAAAGTAGGCTACAAAGCAACAAGTTATAATTGTGGAAAAAATGTTGCTCAGTCGGGAAGAGCAGAGGAAGGAAAAAAAACAAAACAAAACTTCCATGACTGGAATTCGTACCCACGCTCATAAAATAACGGTTTGACTTCAAACGCAGACGCGCCGTCCATTCAGCCCTCAGAACTTCCAACAACGAAGCGTAGATTAAGCCTTAAATACATCAACACAAACGTTTTATTTAGCACTGGCGCTAATCGCAACGCGGAGTTGCAAATAGGCACTTCCTTTTTAAAAATTATTTTATGGCGCTTGCAACTGCATAAATAAGGTCGTGGGCGGTTGGCGGGTGCTCTGGTGTGGTTTGGAACTTCTTTCCTATAAAAAATCTATCGTCCTTATCTCCCCTCCTTCTTTTTTATGTTTGTTACTCTGTTGTAACACCTGTAACCTTCTGGCGCTCATATGACCTTCGAGCGCCGTAAAACCTCTACTAAAACAAACAAATCAATAAGGTCATGATAGACCTAGGAAATTTTATTTTTGTCCGCTTATCGATTTTGGACCATCAAGGGATCCTTAACGTGCACAACATGCACACGGGACCTCCGAGACTTTTCACCCTTGTCCAAGAAGACTAGAATCTAGAGCTAGGTGTATTCTAGGGTTGATCTTTACACAAAACTGGATGATACGGTCAGGCAGGGGTGAGGGTGGCTGACTCAAAGACAGCAGATTTAGATATTAGAGGAAAGAGTCAAGGAGAAGCAAAGCTTCTACTTCTATCTCTGCCATGTCTTTTATTTCTACTACCTTCTTCTTCTTCTTCTGGCTGGCCTCCGTTAGGAGGGCGGCAGTCTGCCGCAGGCAGACAGGTAAGCGGCAACCTCTTGGGGCCTCGTCCAGAGTACATCCGAGCCCCGTCTCGTGTTGTTCTCCATAAGTGGGCCTCGATATGCTTCCCCCCGCGGGCACTCATACAGTGTGGCCACTCATACAGTGTGGCCACTCATACAGTGTGGCTACTCATACACTCATACAGTGTGGCCACTCATACACTCATACAGTGTGGCCACTCATACACTCATACAGTGTGGCCACTCATACACTCAGACAGTGTGGCCACTCATACACTCATACAGTGTAGCCACTCATACACTCATACAGTGCGTGCTGCAGGTCGTCAGGACTTGTGCCACACGCCAGACAGGAATCATTGGGAGCGGGGCCTATTGCATGGAGATACGTCTGCAGGATGGGGCTCTTCGCGTTGCATCTAAGCTGCGATAACACTCTTCTCTGTCTGACGGTTAGGTCTCTCTCTTTGTCACTCTCCGGTGGTGGCTTCACCTTTCCCCCAATGGAGTCGTGCACTCGCCCTTTCTCCCATGCGTGGGCAATGATGTAACGCGAGATGCACGAGCTTGCTGATGCAATATCGACTGGAGTGTTGGACTGGTCGAGGCGGCCTCCCTTGTTGGCCAGGGCGTCAGTAGATCTTGCGAGAACTTACGGGCAAAACAAAATGGCGACCTGCGTAGTTCGGTTCGATTCGAAAAGTGAAATAGCCATTGCACCTTTGTAGACGATCAAATTAGCTTACTTTTGCGCTATTATAATAGGCACTTGGATAAAAATGTCAATGTTTTCAAATCGCTTTAAAAATAATATCAATGCAAAGAGCTCAGTAACACGATTCCAACGCTACCTTAGTTATTGCTCTATGTTGTACGGTTTTTGAGATATGGCATTTTAAAGATCTTTTCGAGGGGGTAAATTCTATATAGAAAAAAAAAGGCAATTTTTGTGATCGAAACAGCAAGAACAATAAGGGAAATGTTAGCTGCTTCAATATGCTGCTGCGTACATGCAAAAACCAAACATTTTCTGAAACCTTGTGATGTTGAGGACAAAATAACAGTCAGACGAGATTTCTCAAAATAGTGTATTGTGTAATATTGGGCAATGTTATGCAACACCGTGTTGCGTAATGCGGCTGCATCGTCCTGTGGTCAAGATATTTTGCCATAACTTTTTTATAAATTAAGCTAGAACAATAACTGAGGTATCATTTTAAAGGTCTTTTCAAGACCTTTCTTTTGAAATATTTACAAATCAAATATCTGTACAACTTACAAAACACTGATTAGAAAACTTATATTTTAACAAAACTGCAGGTCACCTAAGATGAGATCAGTACAAAAGTCTTTAAAGTTAACATTTGAGTCCACAGCCCCTTCCTCACCTTCTTCTAGGGTCCAATACGATATTGTTAAAATTTTCTCTGTCTTTTTTGTCTTTGACTTTAGAATCCTACCTTTATATTGTACATCCTCTAACACATTTCCTTTCCTAACATTCCAGAGATGTTCTATTTCAATACCATCCGCAGCATTTGATCTTTCACCAAAGCTAGCAAAATAATCAACAAGTTTGTCAAGCTGTTCCCCTGCAATATTTTGAAACAACACAGAATCCAAGCCAGTACCATTTTCGAGAACAGTCTTTACCTCCCGAGCAAGTTTGTTGCGTCTGGCTTGATCTCTCTGCTGACTCTTTACTTTCTGTCTCTCCGTGACGAAACGGTCTCTCCTAACCTTCCGCTGCTTGCATAAATCTCTATATTTTTTACCCTCTTTCACACAAAAATTAATCATTTTCTCTTGTTCTTCCTCGGACTGTAACAAAACCCATTCGAGTGTTTTGTTCATCCTTGATTTCGTTAAAGAGTCAAGAAAGGACATCTGTGCATTTGGAGCACGCTTGGACAGCGCATCTGCAATACCAAGCGTCCTCTCAGCCCAAATGTTGTGTACTGGGGCACTAGCTGCCTTCTTCTTGATTTCCTCTGATGGGTCAGCCAGCAATCCTTGCAAGTACTCGTGCAGCTGGAGCTTCATTTTCTCTTTAGTGACTTTGGCAATGACGGCCACGACGCTATTGAATGCCACTCTGTCCACATTCTCCATGGACAGGAGGGACGCCAAAGTGTCATCTTGAATGAGAGGGCGGCCAAAAGCATCCTTCTTTGAGAGCAGAGCTGCCTGTGGGGTCTGCTCAACCCTGGCAATAAATGCTAAAGCGCATTTAAGGTGCTGTACCAGCTCGAGATGGCAACGCTTACTGTCTTCTGTATAGAAGACTGCCATCCAGGGTCCAGTGAGCAGCTTTCCCCACAACCCAAGGACTTGCAGATGTAGCAGGATGGAAGGGTTTTGAAGGTCCTCAACAGCTGAGGATTTCAGACCTGTGCTATTGTTGCAGGAGTACTTCAAATATTTCAGAAGAAGTGTCTGATGAAGATAAATAGCGCCAGCTGAGTGAAATAGCACATGGAAGCGGTTTCCAATGTACCGCGGAAATGTGCTCAGCGGCAAGCCATGCTCCTTCAAGAAATTTTTGAAAGCCCCTGGGTCACCTTTTGCCTTGTAACGAAGTTTGGAAATGGCATAAATAAGGTTGGCAGCCCTGCAGTCAGTCCCATACAGTTTGCTCGAGATGGTAGAATTCAGAGCTTTAAGGGATGACCTGACAGCAAGAGAAATCCCATCAAGAGGATGCAGGTGGCAATGAAGCTCCAGGAGAGGACGCTGAAGCTTTTCTTCCAGAAGCACAACAGTGGCATGATTGACACAGGCCCGATCTGTCATTGTCGACAGAATGCTGGCACATATTTGGCCGAACATCTGCAACGTTCAGTTCATGGTACATGCTAAACACTGTAGCAAGGTCGTTAATTGTCTCTATTATGTGGTTGGCATAGTCTTCTGCTCGACCTCCTGGCAAAACAGACAGACTAGCCGTAAGTGTCACAGTGGGTGTCACGAAATGAATTTCATTTATGTGATCACCTCCAAGAGTAGTGGCATCAAAGGCCAGTGTAGTTATTTCTTTGGTAATAGCTTCACAGACTTGAAGCTCTGCTAGAACACCCATCTCTCTCCCCATCTGCGCAACAGTTGTAGAATCTGGTAAAGTGGTAATCTCAATACCTGCTAGACTTTTTAGACAGGATTTCACGATGGGTGACACTGCAGCTACAGGAACATTATGCTGCAAACAAGTGTAAGCAGTCAACCTTAATTTATGGCTATATTGTTTTTCGTTAATTTTACATGATGTTAGAACATTGTTTTCATCATTTAATTTGTCATGTAAATGATCAATTAGAACGTCCTTTTTTTAAATATATTTTTTATCTCTCTTTAAATCTTGGTATTGCTCTTTAAGAGCCTCTTCAAGTTTTATCACCTTACGGGTTAGAGTGTCTTGTTCTTTCTTAGCTTTGTTTGCAACTTTAGCTTGTTCAGAAAGTTTTTGTTCTAAGTTTTTATTCTGTTTGTTCAAATTTTCAACTTCTTTGGTTAGTTGTGAAATGTCTATTTTGAGGCATGCAATTGTGTCCCGATACTTATCGATTCTTTCTTTATTCCTGGCAAATGTTTGGTTCACTCTGCCAACATTATATTGTTTTCTCATGTCAATTTTTTTTCTCTTTTCTGCAATAAATGCTTTCTTAAGTATTTTGTTTTTGGCAACTTGTTCAGACAAGCTCTGCTTTGAATTTGAACAACTCCCACAGGCATGGCGGGATTTAGGGGTCAAGTCAGGTAGGTCATCCTGGTGAAATGCAGTTGCTATAACTGGAGAAACAAATGTCGAAGGAAACGACTGAATAGGTGCCGATGAAAGCGGCTGATGGAGAGTCGATGGAAAAGACTGAACAGAAGGTGCCGATGAAACTGGTTGAGGAAGAGTAGATGGACTTGACTGAATAGGTGCCGGTGAAACTGGGCGAGGAGTCGATGGAGACGACTGAACAAGAAATGTCGATGGAACCGACTGAAGAAGATATTGCGGTGACTGACTTGTCATGGTGACAGTTGAAGGTGTGACTGCATATGCATGATCTAAAAAAACTTCAGTCTGAGGAAGAAACGGAGGAGCAGCAGTAACAGGTGTTGACTGCATAAGCGGGACAGATACCAGAGGCACGGCAGAATGAAGTTCATCAAGATGAGAGTCAGGAACAGAAGTCTCCTGTGAACTTGTTTCTCGTTTCTGTGGAAGTCTAGCCACTACATCTGTTTGCAAGAATGTGTGCATTTCGATCCAATGTTTTTTCAAATTAGTTCGCCAACATTTTACTTTCATAACACATTTTCTGACTACAAAGCGCATGCTACTCGGGTTTGCTAAAATCTCTCTATTGCTGTGCTTTTGCAGAAAGTCTACAACACTTTGAAAATTTTTTAACTCTTTGTAAAGCCAAACAATGTTTCCATTTACAAAACAAGTCTTAAATGTTGGGCTATTTAGTGGCACTGAAAATTTTGAATCTATAAAAGAGTCAAAGTCAGCCTTGCTTTGAGGAGGGTTTTCCATCATTGCCTTTCCCTCAAATTTGTTCACTTGTCACATATGGTAGAATTAAGTTTAAGTGTTTATCAAATGATCTTTGTCAGTGTTCTGAGATCATGTCTGACACTAGATTAAATTATCGGAGATCTTGACACAATTTTACCCCACATGCCCTCTCTACCAAATATAAACTCAAACCGAATAAGTATTATATCAAGTCGTAAGAGGGAAATCACGGTCACTCTCGTACACTTTTGTGCACGTCCATTTATTTACATTTTTACAGCGAGTGACTGTACATGATAAATCACAAATGTGGGTGCGTTTGTAACTTTGAGAGAGAGAGAGAGAGAGAGAGAGAGAGAGAGAGAGAGAGAGAGAGAGAGAGAGAGAGAGAGAGAGAGAGAGACAGAGAGAGACAGAGAGAGAGAGAGACAGACAGACAGAGAGAGAGAGAGACAGACAGACAGAGAGAGAGAGAGAGAGAGAAAGAGGTGTTAAGCAGGGTGATTACATAAATGTTGGTGTGACTGACACTTGGGTGAAAAAGAGGAAGAGCGAAAGGAGGGAGGAGAGGCTAAACGGAGTGACTACATATAGCTGTGGATGCGCTTGAAACCTGACCTGGGTGAAAGTGAGAAGGAAAGAGAAAGAAAAGAATAAGAATAAAGTAAAGAGAAAGAGAGAGAAGAGGGGGGGGGGGGGTAAACTGAGGGACTACATGAAGAGGGTGAGTTTTAAAAAGTGGAAAAAAAAAGAGAGAAAGAGAAAGCTTGGGGGGGGGGGGGGGACTGAGTCGTTACATCCTATAGGATGCGAGTGTGCTTTAAATTAAATTTGAGCTGGGGGGAAATAGAAAAAAGTTAGTGAAGCTGGGGAAAAAAAAGAAAAAGAGTTAGTGAAGATGTGGAAAAATAAAAGTAAAAGTCAGTAAAAAAAGTCAACTATTTTCAATATGATGATGTGGCTCTGTCAATCTGTGAATAAATCCAAAGGAACGGTGGCAGTGGCAGGTTCAAGGTAGTGATCAAAGGCACAGGGGCTGTGGAAAGAGAAGAAAAAAAATTGGGTGAAATTTTCAAATTGAATTCAAAATCAATTAAATAAATTATAGATTCTAAATTCTTTTATTTGTCACTTGGTGAAGTCTGGTCTTGTGACTTGTCTGGGCAATGGAAATTTGAAGTAGAAATATGGTGAAGGAAGACATGCCTAGACAAAAGAAAAGCCTATATAAGCATCATGTAGATATCTATCTTCAAACTGTTAACAGATAGTAGTGCGGAAAATTTAAAGAGATATTTAAAGACAAAAAGCACACAAACAAATACAGAAAAAAGAACGTGCGTGAAACCATGGAACAACAAGAAGAAAACTAAAAATGGCTGTTACATTTCCCTCCCGCCTACACGGGACTCCAAACTAATTGTTACATGGTGCAACTTCATGAAAATTATACAATAGTATATGAATTATTGTTCAAAATTTCAAATAATTCAAAACTTCTACTAGAAAACATTCTTCAACGCCGTTTAAGGCAAAATCAACGCCAACAGTACACGTTAGCGTGGGTTAAGTTCGCTTTCAGCAATGGCCGCCATGACCTCCCGGTTCACACTCAGCAGCGCGATCGATAATAGGTCATGCTCATTCATAGAGAGTGACCTATTTAAATTAGGGCTCACACGCTTATGCCTCAACGTACAGCATTGAAATTAACAAATAAAAGAGATAAAAGGTTAAAGAAAAGATCATGAGTAGTACGTAAAAAATAAAAGATATACTCTTTAAATATAAAGGCTTGAACTTACCTTATTTTCAACTCCTTGAAACTCCGAACACAAACAACCGATCATCAAGTGGTAAACACCATTAGACGTGCCTTTCTTTTGTCTAAAATTTGATAGGCGGAAGTAGTCCATAATTTGAAAAGAACACTGTAAACGAAACAAAAGAAATAGGTACCCCTTTCCGGAAGCCCGATTTCTGACACAAAACGCGGCGGCCGCTGGCGAACGAAATCTCGGGCCGCGCGGGCCGATATCCAGGTGCCTAATTATAACGTTATTTTTTTTTTGCTTTTATCAATTTGATCATCCACACCGATAGACAGTATTCCGAAATGAGTAAAAACAGGTCTTGTTTCACACCGGGTGAGAATAGCCAACGGTGGCAAGTCTCACCCGGGGTGAGAGGTCAATCATATTTTTATTCTCACCCCGGGTGAGGATAGCCACTTCCATATAAATAAATGTCGAAAGTGGCTATTCTCACCCGCCCGGAAGTTCTCGCAAGATCAACTCCTCCCCTCTTCTCTCTCTCTCTGTCTCATTTTGAATACTGTCTATCGGTGTGGACGATCAAATTGACCAAAACAAAGTTTTAAAACAAATGATGTTAAAACACAAAAGTAAATTAATTTGGTTGTCTACAAAGATGCTACGGCTATTTAACTTTCCGAATCGAGCCGAACTACGTGGGTCGCCATTTTGTTTTGCCCGGAAATTCTCGCGCTACTCCTCTCTCTCTTTCTCTCTCTCTCTCCACTGCCCACAGACAAAATTGTACGCTTTTAGTAGGCTACAGTTGTAATGGAACATTTGTTCACGGCACAGAATTCTACAATTTTTCTGTTATCACAGTGTAGAATTCTGTGGTTTAGGGTGAACGCAAAATTTGGTGAATGCGCACCGGGTGAGAATAGCCACAAGACTCGCCGGCACTATTCTCACTCCGGGTGAGAATAGAGGTGGCCATAAATGTCTATGGAGTTAGGCCAGGACCACTTCTCCCGAAGAGTGGTTATGTCTAGATCTATTCTAGATATCTAGAATCTTATGATTCTAGATCTAGATTAGATATAGAATCTAGATATAATAGATCTAGATCTAGAATCTAGTTGAAGTGGTTTGGACTTGGACTTGACTTGGAATGAGAATGAGGAAAGTCAACATCAACTGATTCTTCGGAAGGACTTCCGTAACGAGCGACCACCTCATCAACAAACACAATAAAGAAGAGGCCTAACCCTAACCCTACCCCTATCCCTAGATCTACCCTTACCCCTAAATTCTGCTCTGTCTCATAGTGGTCGCTCTTTACGGAGGAAGTCCTCCCGATTCTTCGTCTGCTGTCAATGAAGATGGTGTCCGATCGCCCGATGATACCGATCATCATCGTCTGTTTCCTCACCTGTCGGTCGCCAATCACTCAGTGAATTCATCGCCACTTCTCTAGATTCTAATAATCGTTCAACTTGGTCCATGCTCATCGATCGTTTCTGAGTGAGGCATTTAGATAGATATATCTAGAGATATCTAGAAAAGCCTATCCACTTTCCAAAAGTCGGCAGAAAAACACTTCGAACTTCGAACTACTCTTTGGAGAGTATGCCGCTTACGGTGTTTACAATGTATACAAACCGAAGGCCCTTCTCTGCGTGCATGTCCACAAAAACAAAACCTTTGTTGACCTCTAGATCAACCGAACCCCAGAAATTTTAGGAATAGCATCGCACATTTCAATAAATAATAGCTTTACGTAAACTTCACCTTCTCTTCTAACAAAATCTGTTGGGAAAAGTTTATGTTTTAAGTTGTAAGCGATCAATCATTTTATTTTGCAAAGATGGATAAGTGGTCTGGATGTGTTTTTGTGACCAATTATCTCTCGAGCCGCGGCCGAGTCAAACCTAAGGGCGATAACATAAAGAACGCCGAAACTTAAGCGGCTGAAAATGGACGCCGACATGCGCCAGTCGGTGTCTGCTTGACTCCACATAGAGGGCGTCTATTGCCGATCCCTTTAAGTTCGCGTTGCATTGATCTACTGTTGTCTAGTCTGCCTACATCTATCGTATCTAGAATCTAGTTGTAGGTCTTGAGTGATTACAAATTGACAAGAATTGACCCGTCATCCGAGAGGGGGAGAGGGAGAGGAGGAGATAAGATAAGATAAGATAAGATAAGATACATCTTTAATGTCCAGATCCTGGCACATTGGTTTGGTGTTCCACCACGAGTACACACACACACGTACACACACACACACACACACACACACACACAA